TTCACATGTTCCACTTCTGCGGCCCGAGGTTTGCCAGTTTGGATCCCGGGTGCGGACATGGCACCACTTGGCAAGCCGTGCTGTGTCAGGCGTCCCACATATAAAAAAGTAGAGGAAGATGGTCACGGATGTTAACTCAGGGCCGGTCTTCCTCAGCAAAAAGAGGGAGGATTGGCAGCAGATGTTAGCTCAGGGCTAATCTTACTCAAAAAAAATTAAAAATTAAAAATTAAAAAAAATTAAAAACTTCTGCTCTGTAAAAGACAATGTCAAGAGAATGGGAAGACAAGCCACAGACTTGGAGAAAATGTTTGTAAAAGGCACATCTAATAAAGCACTGTTATCCAAAATATACAAAGAACTCTTAAAACTCAACAAGAAGAAAGCAGACAACCTGATTAAAAAATGGGCCAAAGACCTTAATAGATACCTCACCAAAAAAGATGTGCAGATAGCAAATAAAATGAAAAGATACTCCACGTCGTGTGTCATCAGAGAAATTCAAATTCAAACAACAGTGAGATACCACCATACACCTGTTAGACTGGTCAAAATCCAGAACACTGACAACACCAAATGCTGGCAAAGATGTGTGGAGCAATAGGAACCCTCATACATTGCTGGTGGGAATGCAAAACTGTACAGCCACTTTGGAGAACAGTTTGGTAGTTTTTTACAAAAATAGGTATATGCTTATCATATGATCTAGCAGTCACACTCCTTGGTATTTACCCAAAGGAATTGAAAACTTATATCTCCTTTGAAAACCCTCACACAGGTGTTCATAGCAGTTTTATTTCTATTGCCAAAACGTGGAAGCAACCAAGATGTTCGTGAGTTGGTGAATGGATAAATAAACTGTGGTATATCCAGACAATGGTTATTATATTCTTTGTTTCTTTTTATTGCTGAGTAATATTCCATTGTATGGATAATCCCACATTTTTTCTATTCATCAGGTGCTGGACATTTAGTTTGTTTCCATTTTGGTGCTATTATGAATAATGCTTTCATGAATGAAAGATTTTTATGATGATATATATTTTCAGTTCTCTTAGATATAGAATTCGTGTGGAAATATGTTTTCATTTCTCTTGTGGACGTACCTGGGAGTCTAATTGCTGGGTCACATGGTAATCATATCCTTAAACTACTTGAAGAGCTGCCAGGCGGAGTGACTGCACCATTTTACATTCCCACCAACAGTGTATGAGGGTTCCAATTTTTCCATGTTATCGTCAATGATTGTTCTTATCTTTCTTTGATTATAGCCATCCTGTTGGTATCTCCTGAAGTAGTATCTGATTATAGTTTTGATTTTCTTTTCCCTGATGGCTAATGATGTAGAGAATCTTTTCATGTGCTTATTTGTTGTCTTATAGCTTCTTTGTCAAATTATATATTGTTATTTGTCTTTTCATTATTGAGTTGTAATAGTTTTGTTTATGTTCTAGATACAGGTTAGTTATCGGATATATATTTTGCAAAACTCTCATTCTATGAGATGTCTCTTCTCTTTCTTGGTGTCTTTTGAAGCACAAAAGTTTTAGTTTTGATGAAGTCCAATTTATCTATTTTTTCTTTTATTACTTGTACTTTTGGTGTCATAAGTATGAAAATACTGCCTAATCTAAGGCTATCAAGATTTACCACTGTGTTTTGCTTCAAGAGGTTAATACTTTTAGCTTTTTCATTTAAGTTTTGGCTCATTTCAAGTTAACGTTTGTATGCTGTGTGAGGTCAGGGTTTAGTTTCATTCTTTTGCATGTGGATATCCATCTGATCCATCATCACTTGTTGAAAAGACTATTTTTTCTCATTGACTTGTCTTGGTCCCCTTGTTGAAAGTCAGTCGACCTTAAATGCAGACATCTCTTTTTTTTAAAAAAAGATCTGAATCTTTTGAGTTGTTCTTACCAAGAAAAATAAGGCAGAATGTTACAGAGAGTAGTTAAATCCCTTATTTTTCAAAATAAGTTCAGATCACCTCCCACTTAGGACCAACTTTCTGGGAGGATGACATCTAAAATTGCATCCGTTTCATGTACCTTTTAAATTACTTCTTTAGAATGGAAGAATCTTGATTTAGTGTACTTTTCTTGAATTTTACCTGTATTTAAATTTGGAACTCTGAGTTTTTAAATATCCGCTTGTCTTTTACTTTGTCAGAAACATTGTAAACATGTTTGAGTTAGTCCTTGTATTCCAGAGGTTTGAGTTTTTTTCCTTCCCTTGTTTTCAAAGTTTAGCTGGAGGCAATGGTTAATCTTTAAAGGAGTCATGCTTATAGAGCTGGGATAGTGCTGAGTGGCCGATGTTCTGCTCATTCCAGCTGTAAAATGTTTTTTGGAGAGCAGAAAAACAACTTGCTTTCATTCCAATACACTATAATTCTTGAGGTCCACTGAGTTTCTGAAAACATTGACTCAAAAAGTGAAGTGAAGGATTGTAGACTACATTTTTCCATAGTATCCTTTAGTATTTGGAAAGGAGAATATACTTATTAGGGTCTGTTGCAGCAAAATGGTTATCAGAATTAACCGAGAGTTAGATCATGGTGACTTTAAGGTTCAGGAGATTAGCTGTCTCTAATTTAATGCCACATTTCATAGGTATTTATTTCTGTTTTCCAGCTGCTTCCTTTTTTCATGACTTTTTGAAAGGGGGAAGCTTTCTTATAGACCATATTTATACTCATTTCTCTGGCTCTGAAAATATCTATGGAATATGTGTATGCACATATATAAAAGTACATTTTTGTATGAATGAGATTAGTTTACTCAATGGGAATCTAATAATGAAATCTGTTATGTAAATACTCCACAATATATTGTTAGAGTGTGTTGCCTTTGTGTTATTTTAGTGGGCCTTTGTCCTATGTATGTATCCATAATAGATGTTCATAATATGCATTCAGTGGATGTAATAATATCACGGTTACCCAGAGGTCAATTTTCCAAAAACCCAAAACATTCCAAACACACCTCTTTAAACCTTGAAATGAACAAAAAGTGTTTTTAAATGATGAGCAAAAAAAAGCTTATATCTTTTCTTTCACATGACATATGGTCTTTCTCTCAGGGTCATTATCTTCTTTATAAGTTCTTTATCTTCTTTCAAAATGAAAACTCAAAGTAGATAGTAGTTGAAGGAGCTGAAGTGAAAACTACTGTATAATGGAACCAACAGCAATGTGTGCTGCTAGTGCTGGTGAACACAGGGACACTAACATTTCAGAGTGATGACATTGCTACTCAAAAGGCTTTTTGAATTCAAGCAAGCATGTAAATACATTTAAGAAAAATTTCTATTAAAAAATGGCTTTAAAATGAAATCTAGTTCATAGCTGAGCACACTATTTTAATATTTGAAAATTTTTCTTGTGTAGATGACTTTTTTGCCAGTACCTTATAAATCTGCTTTGATTAATTTAGGTGCATTGTTTAAATTATTTAAACATCCTTATTAAGCTATTGTTCAGATATTATTCTAGGCATGAGAGATTCAGCAGTGAACAAAACAGACACAAATCCTTGACCTTACATATTCCTGTAGACAAGAGTGAGGAAGATGAAAAATAAACAAAAAAATAATAAATATATCACAGAACATATAAGTTATTTTTATTTTTGTCAGTGAATGTTGAAGTAGTTAATCATTCTTCTTTTTCTTACTAATAAGTATGCTTTTGGATAAAAGACTATCGTACTTTGATAACTACTCTTCCTAGGATCAATAACATAAACTGGGACTGCCTGCTGGGCAGATGTGCAGTTTATAATTCAGATCATGTTATTTTTTGCTACTATACTTTTGTGTTTCATGTAATGTAGCTTTTTTTTTTGCCATGAGAAGAAAAAGTTTTTGTTATAAAACTTGTGTGTCTCATGATTGTGTAAATTTAGATTCCAAATCGAGACTGAAACTATTGAATAGATAACCTCAGTTTGATCATCTATGGTACATTTTAGAGAAAAACATTTGTGAAAATATTAACCAGATACTTGTGGAATGATAAACCAGCAGTTCTGTAGGTTAGGCTTTTCGTGCTCTTTGATTCTCCGATCTTCCTTGAGTAGTCCCTTCAAAGCAGTTTTGTGAGACCGTGGAATGTTATTTTGTGTAGTTGACAGATGAGGGTGTTAGACTCAGAGACCTTATTGTCATAGCCAGGAGGGGAGCTGAGAGCCTGTAGGATGACAGACATGAGTTACACTTGACTGAATTGTGTTGTGTCTTGGTTGGTAGAGTTCAGGAAGATGGCATTGGCGTTTCCATGCATGGATGGTTTCCACTAGTGTTAGGAATATTTATTCTTGTTGAAAGGAGAGAACTGCGAAATAATCCTTCCTACTAGTTTGTTATTGGCTGCGCTGAAAGCGAAAAGAATGAAGTTGAGTGCTTAATGTAAATAGGTAGGAGTATGTAAATTAGTTCCCCAACATGTTTCCACTGAGGCACGCTTTGTGGATTACTTCTCCTCATTGGCTCCATACTTAAGTACTTGTTTTGTTTTGTTTTTTCCACTGTAGTATTGTCATTTCCTTTTAGATGTATGTCTTCTTTATCTGTTGCCCTTAAATTCTTGAACCAATTGTGTCCTTTCTCTTTACTCTCTAAACATTGTTCCTTGACTTAGGAAGTTGTAGACTTATGAGCTTTAAATGTTTCCTCTTAGCTTCTCTCTTGTTCTAGGAAGAACTGTTTAAAATGCACAGTTTTTGGTAAAAGTGATTACCAGTTCTTCCCAGATTTGTTTCTTATTGGAACAGAGTCAAAACCAAAAGGAAACTGTAGAGGAGACAAAAATGAACCTCATTTAGACTACTAAAATAATGATTTATTTAGCTATTAAAATAATGATTAATATTATGGGAATTTAATATGAGAGTTGAAAAAATAAAAACATTTCATTGTTTTGTTTTTATGGCATCAAAATATGATGCACAACAGAAAATTTATTAAGAAACTTCTCAGTGTTGCCATTTGAAATTTTTCAGGCTGCTACCCTTGTCCAGGGCCCAACATGAATCCTATTGCTCTGGGGAGCCGCTGGCTTGCTTATGCAGAAAACAAGGTAAGGCATGGCCCATATTTTGATTATTTGCAATGGAGCAAGTGTTGAAGAATTTTCCAAAGTGATTACCAACCAATAATGAATGTTTTACTTACTAGTTTGCTTTGTTTGATTCAGTTTTGGTTTTAATTGGGCACTCAATAATTGTCCTGTCTCCCTTCTTGCATAGAAGCCATATTCGGGCTCAACTGTAATTTTCTAGCCTTAGTTGTTTTTTTTTTCCTTTTTCTCCCCAAAGCCCCCTGGTACGTAGTTTCACATTTTCAGTTGTGAGTCCTTCTAGTTGTGGCATGTGGGATGCCGCCCCAGTGTGGCCTGACGAGTGGTGCCATGTCCGCACCCAGGATCTGAACCGGCGAAACCCTGGGCTGCCAAAGTGGAGCTCGCCAACTCAACCGCTCGGCCACAGGGCTGGCCCCAAGGCTTAGTTTTATATAGAGAGCTTTACTCCATTAATCTTAAAGCACTGCATTGATGTTACCACAGTAGTTTCTGTGGAGCTAGCAATCAGGAGGCAGGAATGACTTCTGTTCTTATTGGTAGATTGGGAACCTGACACATAGAATGATTTAATTGACTTTAACTGTATGCCTGCAACTAAATCTAAACAAGAATTCAGCCATTTGTCTTAATAATTAAATCACAGATGCTCACATTTTGTTGAATTTTCCAGTTATTTATCGATTTCATTTATCTATTAAGGTCATCAGAGTAAATGAACATACTTTGTTTATACACTGAATGTTTTATGTCCAATTCAAATCAGAGGGCAAATTTGAATTTTCAGAAAGAAAAAGTTCAATCTTTTTCATGCCATTTAGTGACCTGTGTGTGAATATAGAATGAAATCTAAAAGACATTACAGACTTCAAAGAACATTTTCGTTTTTTGTTTTATTTTTGCTTGTTTGTATAGTTATTGTATATTGAAAGTAATTTGAAATAATATTTAGTGAAGAGTTCTTAACACAAGTCTGGATATGGTAAGTGCAGTAATTATTTCATTGACATGACAGAGCAAGTAAATCTCTAGCCTCTGAAATTCACAAAATCAAGAAACTACTGAAGAAAGTTATTTTTCTAGGTGAATTCCTTGATGCTTTTTCCAAAATTGTGTCTGCTACAGGTAGATATTTTGTATCTTACTGAATGCCATCTTTATGCTGCATCCTGTTCTTTCTTTTGATTTCTTGATTCTCTTTTCAAACAAGACAAGAGGCATACAAGTCATTGTGGTGACATAATGGTATCTTCTAGTGTTTACATCTGTAATAGATTTCCTTGAGTACTGGGGACATCCAAGGAGAAACTGTATAAATTGTCTCTTGGCTCTTGTAGATGTATTCTCACATGTGGTGAACTACCATTTAGAATTGTAGGTGTGATACAAATAGTTATATATTGTTTTCTAGGAGAAAGCACGCCCATCATAGATGCATAGCCTGGATCTGTGCCGCTTGTCTTGCCTTTGTAGAGATATGTGTCAGTAATATCTAGTGTTACATACAAAGACCAGAAAGTGTTGTGGCATTCACAAAGAGTTTGCTAATCAGATGGTTGTACCATCCTTGGGAAGAAATATTTCCAGATAAATGTCTTTCAATAGTGTTTACAGAAGAGCTACTATTTATTAACAGTTGATATTGATAAAATACTTTTATCTAATTTGTAATCCATATTCCAGTTTTGTCAAGTAAGCACATCATGTCATTTGTAGAAATTTTTTTCCTGGAGTGGAGGGTCCGGTCTAGGATCAGACATGATGTTTTGTTGGATTGTCCCTTTAGTCTCTTTTCATAGAGAACATTATACAGTCTTCCTTAGTCTTTTATAACATCGATAATTTTGTAGAATACAACCCCCTACCACTACCCCCTACTCTTTTTTTTTTTAATAGGATGATTTTTGAGTTTTTTGATGTTTTCTCTGGATTATATTCAGGTTACATATTTCTGGCTGGAACACTACACGAGAATTGTTCTGTATGTCTCACGACATCACATCTGGAGGCACACGATATACGTCTGTCCTTTATTGGTGATGCTAATTTTGTGAAGGTCTTGTCCAATTTCTGTACTGAATAATCACTGTTTCTTTCCCCGTTAACTAATACGTAATTTGAAAAGACGATACGTATATCATCAACCTTTAAGCCTAGTTTTAGCATCCGTTGCTGATTCTTTCCTGAACCAATCTATGCGGTGAGGATTACAAAATAATGATCTTCCACCTTCACCCTCTACTATTACTTGGCTTGCTATTATAATCAAGAACTTCCCCTTCTCTCCTTTTCTGTATCTTCATTTTTGATATGGACTTATGGATTTCTGTTTTTTCAATGGCCTTTAATTTTTTTCTCTCTTGAATTATTTTGGTTTTCAAATTGTCCCAGAGTTGATCAATGAGAGCGCCTCTAGCCTGGTTCTTGTGACACTGTGACATGCCTTCATCAAATTTTTTTTAACTATTTCCTTACTTGCTATCATAATGTATGTCCCTTGTTTTGCATAGGAGACCCTGCTATTGGCATATTTACTTTATTTGTTCAATCCTATAATACAAAAAGTAATTGCAGAATTGCTTGCTCATACCGCTACAAAAAATCAAACCAAATAAAAAGAGCTCAGGTTTTTCTTGCAATTCTCTCCCCTCCCATCTATGTCTAAAACTGAAGGTATGCAGTCAAATACTGTATTCATATGTTATTTTGATTAGTTTATTGCTCTCTTTCTGCCTCCCCATATTGTTGTTGAAGTTTTCATTTGATACATAATTGTGTACATTTGTTTTTATATTTGTTTTATTTTTATGCGTATATATTTCATTATGTTATATATATTTATATTTCCCTTTATTTTCCAAAAGATAATATATATGCTATTTTATACATTGCTTTTTTCACTTACCAATGTTTCCTGGAAATTAGTCCATGATAGAGTTTTTTACTACAGAAACTTTTGATTTATCTTTAATTTTGATGAACTGAGATGCAAATGTAATTTTCTAATGAGTCTAAGTTTTAAACAAAAATTTCTAAGTTAGTTATGTTTATGTAAAAATGCTAAGTCAGTTTTAGTTGAACTGAAAAAGTAATAGTATTCCTTATTTTCACATATTTATCCTTGATTATTTTAATTGCCTGAAGCAGCGTAGAGATGATAGTATTTCCAAGATAATGTCTTTTTTTGCACATGCGGCAGGAGGCAGCAAAGGGATAATTTTCTTAACTCTTTGAATGTGTATTTGTGAATGAATGAATGAATGAGAGAGTAAGTGAGATTATTTTTATTAGCTAAAATGATCACTTTTCAAACTCCCTATTTTCCCCTATGTGAAACTACATTTGTTGATCACCTGCCATTTGGAAAATTCCTCATCACTGACCTTTATATCTGTTTAAGCAACCATTCAGTGTGGCAGTTTCTCTCATATTGGACTTTTACGGATATTTTATTATAACATATTATTATTGCTTTGAAGGATTGTTGTTTTAAAATTTTATTTTTAATTTGATTTTTTTATTGAAGTTATGATATTTTAAAACATTTTGAAATTTCACTTGTACATATTACACCCCTTTGTGCTCATCCCCCAACCCCTTCCCCCTGGTAACCACTAAATTGTTCTCGTTGTCCATGTGTTTGTTTATCTTCCACATATGAGTGAAATCATGTGGTGTTTGTCTTTCTCTGTCTGGCTTATTTCGCTTAACATAATACCTTCAAAGTCCATCCATGTTGTTGCAAATGGGACGATTTTGTCTTTTTTAATGGCTGAGTAGTGTTCCATTGTATATACATACCACATCTTCTTTATCCATTCATCAATTGATGGGCACTTGAGTTGCTTCCATGACTTGGCTATTGTGAATAATGCTGCAGTGAACATAGAGGTGCATACATCTCTTCAAATTGTTGATTTCAAATTCTTTGGAAAGATACCCAGTAGTGGGATAGCTGGGTCATATGGTATTTCCATTTTTAGTTTTTTGAGAAATCTCCATACTGTTTTCCATAGTGGCTGCATCAGTTTGCATTCCCACCAGCAGTGTATGAGGGTTCCCTTTTCTCCACAACCTCTCCAACATTTGTTATTTTTTTGTCTTGGTTATTATAGCCATTCTAATGGGTGTAAGGTGATATCTTAGTGTAGTTTTGATTTGCATTTCCGTGATGATTAGTGATGTTGAGCATCTTTTCATGTGCCTATTGGCCATCTGTATATATTCTTTGATGTCTGTTCATATCCTCTGTCCATTGTTTGATCAGGTTGTTTATTTTTTTCTTGTTGAGTTGTGTGAGTTCTTTATAAATATTATGGAGATTAACCCGTTGTCATATATATGATTTGCAAATATTTTCTCCCAATTGGTGGGTTGTCTTTTCATTTTGATCCTGGTTTCCCTTGCCTTGTAGAAGCTCTAACCTGGTAAAGAGGGATTGTTTTTTAATACAATGTTAGTGATGAAAAAAATTTTGATTCTAGAATTAAAAAATCAAAGATTTACATATTAATTTTTATCAAATGGCCTTGTTTTAAATTATATAAAGCATTTTTAAAAATTTTTATTTTTTTTTAAATTGCGGTAACATTGGATTATAACATTATATAGCTTTCGGATGTACATCATAATATATTTTGAATTCTGTCTAGATTACGTGATGTTCAACACCCAAAAACTAATTATAGTCCATCTGCTCACATGCCCTCCCCCGCTTCTCCCATGGTAACCTCCAATCCATTCTCCATTGCTATATGTTTGTTTGTTGTCGTTTTTATCTTCTACTTATGAGTGAGATCGTATGGTATTTGACTTTCTCCCTCTGACTTATTTCACTCAGCATAATACCCTCAGGGTCCATCCATGTTGTCACACATGGCCGGATTTCATCCTTTCTTATGGCTGAGTAGTATTCCATTGTGTATAAATACCACATCTTCTTTATCCATTTGTCCCTTGATGGGCACCTAGGTTGCCTCCAAGTCTTGGCTATTGTGTATAATGCTGCAGTGAACATAGGGGTGCAGGTATCTTTATGCCTTTACATTATCAAGTTCTTTGGATAAATGCCCAGCAGTAGGATAGCTGGATCATATGGTAGATCTATTCTTAATTTTCTGAGGATACTCCATACTGCTTTCCATAGTGGCTGCACCAGTCTGCACTCCCACTAGCAGTGTACAAGGGTTCCCATCTCTCCACGTCCTCTCCAACGTTTATTGTTTCCTGTCTTGTCGATTATAGCCATTCTGACCGGAGTGAGGTGATACCTCATTGTAGTTTTGATTTGCATTTCCCTGAGAGCTAATGATGTTGAGCATCTTTTCATATGCCTGTTGGCCATCCGTATATCTTCTTTGGAGAAATCTCTGTTGAGATCTTTTGCCCATTTTTTAATTGAGTTGTTGGTTTTTTTGTTGTTGAGCTGTATGAGTTCTTTGTATATTTGGGATATTAACCCCTTATCTGATATATGGTTTGCAAATATCTTCTCCCAATTGTTAGGTTGTCTTTTTGTTTTATTGATGGTTTCCTTTGCTGTGCAGAAGCTTTTTAGTTTGATGTAGTCCCATTTGTTCATTTTTTCTTTTGTTTCCCTTACCTGGTCAGACATGGTACTTGAAAATATGCTGCTAAGACCGATGTCAAAGAGCGTACTGCCTATGTTTTCTTGTAGAAGTTTCATGGTTTCGGGTCTTACATCCAAGTCTTTAATCCATTTTGAGTTGATTTTTCTGCATGGTGTAAGGGAATGGTCTACTTTCATTCTTTTGCATGTGGCTGTCCAGTTCTCCCACCATCATTTATTGAAGAGACTCTCCTTTCTCCATCGTATGCTTTTGGCTCCCTTGTCGAGTATTAGCTGTCCATAAATGTGTGGGTTTATTTCTGGGCTCTCGATTCTGTTCCATTGATCTGTGTGTCTGTTTTTGTGCCAGTACCATGCTGGTTTGGTTACTATGGCTTTGTAGTATATTTTGAAATCAGAGAGTGTGATACCTCCAGCTTTGTTCTTTTTTCTCAGGAATCCTTTGGCTATTCGGGGTCTTTTGTTGTTCCATATAAATTTTAGGATTCTTTGTTCTATTTCTGTGAAAAATGTTGTTGGACCTTTGATAGGGATTGCGTTGAATCTATAGACTGCTTTAGGAAGTATGGACATTTTAACGATGTTAATTCTTCCAATCCAAGAGCATGGAATATCTTTCCATTTCTTTGTGTCTTCTTCGATCTCTTTCAACAGTGTTTTATTGTTTTCAGTGTACAGATCTTTCACCTCTTTGGTTAAGTTTATTCTTAGGTCTTTTATTCTTTTCTGTTGCACCTGTAAATGGGATTGTATTCTTAATTTCTCTTTCTGCTACTTTGTTGTTAGTGTATAGAAACGCAACCGATTTTTGTACGTTTATTTTGTATCCCACGACTTGACTGTGTTCCTTTATTGTTTCTAAAAGTTTTTTAGTGGATTCTTTAGGGTTTTCTAGACATAAAATCATGTCATCTGCAAAGAGTGACAGTTTCACTTCTTCTTTTCCAATGTGGATCCCTTTTATTTCTTTTTCTTGCCTGATTGCTCTGGCTAGGACTTCCAATACTATGTTAAATAGGAGTGGTGACAGTGGACATCCTTGTCTGGTTCCTGTTCTTAAAGGGATAGCTTTCAGTTTTTCTCTGTTGAGAATGATATTTGCTGTGGGTTTGTCATATATGGCCTTTATTATGTTGAGGTAGTTTCCTTCTATACCTTATTGATTTAGAGTTTTTATCATAAATGGATGCTGTATCTTGTCAGATGTCTTCTCTGCATCTATTAAGATGATCGTGTGAATTTTATTGTTCATTTTGTCAATGTGGTGTATCACATTGATAGATTTGCAGATGTTGAACCATCCCTGCATCCCTGGAATGAAACCCATTTGATCATGATGTATGATCTTTTTAATGTATTGTTGTATTTGATTTGCTAGTATTTTGTTGAAGATTTTTGCATCAATGTTCATCAGTAATATGGGCCTGTAATTTTCTTTTTTTGTGTTGTCCTTGTCTGGTTTTGGTATCAGGATAATATTGGCTTTGTAGAATGAGTTAGGAAGCCTCCCCTCCTCTTCAATTTTTTGGAAGAGTTTGAGGATGGGTATTCAGTCTTCTTTGAATATTTGGTAGAATTCACCAGGAAAGCCATCTGGTCCTGGTCTTTTATTTTTTGGGAGATTTTTGATTGCTGTTTCGATCTCCCTACTAATAATTGGTCTATTCAAATTTTCTACTTCTTCTTGGTCCAGTTTTGGAAGGTTGTATGTTTCTAAGAATTTTTCCATTTCTTCCAGATTATCCAATTTTTGGCGTATAGCTTTTCATAGTATTCTCTTATCTTTTGTATTTCTGAGGTGTCTGTTGTAATCTCTCCTCTTTCATTTCTGATTTTATTTATTTGAGCCTTCTCTCTTTTTTTCTTGTTGAGTCTAGCTAAGGGTTTGTCAATTTTGTTTATCTTTTCAGAGTCAGCTCTTGGTTTCATTAATTTTTTCTATTGTTTTTTTAGTCTCTATTTCATTTATTTCTGCTCTGGTTTTTATTATTTCCTTCCTTCTGCTGATTTTGGAGTTTGTTTGTTGTTCTTTTTCCAGTACCTTTAGATGTGCTTTTAGATTGTCTATTTGGGATTTTTCTTCTTTGTTGAGGTAGGCCTGAATTGCTATAAACCTCTCTCTTAGAACCATAAAGCATTTTTTAAAAATGTTTTGGGATAGATTCTTTCTGAATTCTGTAGACTTTTAATAATTTACATCACAATGTGGAGCTGTTCTAATACTCTACTGTCATTTTGTCTTAAAAATTTTAAATGTAAAAATCTGGCTAATGGTTTTTTTTTCTTTTTACTAAAGTTAGGAAGTGTAGGAGCAGTGGAGAATTTAATCCTGGTTTATTGCTCAGTACATGAGAGAGTCATGCATGTCAAACTAGTGATTCACTTTGAAAATTGACAGGGTGATTTATTTATGTCAGGCATGAGTAAGGACATATCTTTTTCCGTCTAATGGTAAAACTAGTAAGCCCTCTGAAGTGGACAGCTACTATGTGTGTCAGTTGATTTATGCATAATTTGCATCACTTTTCCACTGACACAACTGAAAATGGAAATATGGCAAATTCTTTTGTGTATTTTGTTTGTTTGTTTCCTTTTACAATCTTTATGTAGGAATTAAGAAGACAAAACCTCCAATTTGCTAGCATGTTAAATATTTAATGTTAGGAAGTCATGTCTAAATCCTTTGATTATGTTTTTAAAATTTATTTGTGGAAAGGCTGCCAGATCCCAAATCCTACCGTTTCAGAGTTTATGAATTCTTAAAGACTATTCATCTTGTAATTAAAAATCCTATTTGAGCATGAAACTGCCTGAGTGGCACCAGTAGATTATAAAAAGGGGTAAAAGTGTCTCAGCAGGGCTTTTAGCTGTTTTTCTGAAATACACTAATGCAAACATTCCCACCTACCACCCTCATTATGTGTGGTAAATAACCTCTATCCTAATAGCCTGTAGAGTTAAACAGTTTAATAGAAATGACTTTCTGGTTTCTCTTCCTTTCTCTTTTTTTTCCAGTTGATTCGATGTCATCAGTCCCGTGGTGGAGCCTGTGGAGACAACATTCAGTCTTATACTGCCACAGTCATTAGTGCGGCTAAAGTGAGTATCCGGCAGTCTCTGCGAGTTGTGATCATGTGCAGTAATTATCAAGTTTCTCTCCTGAAGTGTATTGAGATTGTACCTTCCCCTTTCATTCACAAATGTGGAATAAACTTAAGAAGTCAGAATTATTTTGTCACTCATGAGAATTGGCAACTACGTGATTAGGTATTTAATCTCTTAAGACTATAAATAATACTTTATTTTCTATTGTAATAATTATAGGGTTTGTATTTATCCAATTCTAAATATTTAAGTCTTTTAGTGAGATTAAAGTCTGTTATCTAGTTAATACCACTTTTGAAAGAAGCTTTACATGTTTTAGATAATGACTTCTGGATTCTTTTTCTGTGATTTGCATCATTCTACCTATTCTGACATCCCTTTGCATCTTTGAACATTTATGAATCTTCTTGATGCAAAAAGAATATTATTCCTTAAGAAAACTTGAGTCAAACCCCTGGCACATTCAAAGATTCTTTCATGTCACAGGGCTGCCCCCTGCATCTTTGTCAAATGAGTTCTTTTTGCGTGTGTGAGAGGGTTAATTTTGATGATGGCTGGTAAACTTTATGCTGATTATAAGGTATTCTTATAATCACTATCCTTTTGAATTGTGAAGGATACAACAAAACAATTCTAATAGGGATGACATAGTGAATTTAAATGACAGCATGTAATAGAAAGCACAACTATTCAGAAAAGAACAACGAGTTTAAAGCAAACCACAGGGAGAGAATCAAAGGTCACACTGTTTTATGTAAAACAAATACAAAAATACTTCAAGATTGATCACAAATGCTTACATGATGTGCTTTAGAATGGGTTGTTTGCTTTGATGAGAGAAGCGTCACATATTTTTTGCTCAACGGAAATACTGCATGTCTTTATGCTTATGGCACTATATATTTTAGATTTCAGAATCTTTATAAAAATTACTTGTTTGTCCATTGTGTATGCAAAAATTATGATGGTTATTTCAGTGAGGAGAAAGCTGAGACATAGTAATTAGGCAGTATCAGTGTTATTGTTCAGTCAGTTTATGATAGATCCACAAAATATATCAACGAGATCTACTTCTTGAGTATTAGCTTCCTTTTAGACTTATCTGTGTTAAACACTTTCCTCAGGGTAGCTCATTCTATTACCATTTTGAATAATTTTCAGATATGTGCTGGAGGAAAACTTTCAGCTCTTCTTTGCTATAATTATGTGTGTGTGTGTTTGCATAAAAGGAAAGTGACCTGCTTCATTCGGTAACTGTTTAGCTGTTCTCACTGTTAGCTGAGAGAAAGTGGGCATGCTGGGATGAGACTAGACTTACTGTGTTTTGAAAAGAACAAATCCGAACTCCTCACTTTTCTGTACCCCAGTATTGGGAACTATGGGGAATATACTCGTCTTTCACATTTAGACTCTAAGAAATTATGTTGATGACAACACCTTAATCCAGTCAATTTCTATTAGGCCATTGGTCACCAGTGGAATTTGGTGTAATTGAAATTCGTTGTTAGCTCTGGCAATATGTAAAATTCTGCCATTAACTCTCGAATAAAGTAGTTTGTGTTTAATTTTTGTTTAATTGTTTTTGCCTGATTATAATGCTGATTCATGTTCTTGCTTATAAATTTATGAAATGAAGGAAAAAATATAACCCTGAGTATAAAAGTCACCCATTTCTTGATAGTTTTAACACGTTAAATCCAATCATATATTGTACCCTGCTCTTTTAACTCATACTTAGTTTAAATGTCATGAAATGTTTTTCAAAATACTTTTCTTATGTTTATATAGTGCTTATCTGTGTCCTTATGGACTCCTGAATTAGAAAGCATGAATGTTTTGAGATTTCTTTTAAAATACTATCATTATTTTCCTAAAATCCTACCAGAAATAGAACGATCCTTCATCTCACTTCCAGAGGGTGGATATTTTATATAGGAAAGATTGGAAAGTTGGGATGCTTTTCCTCCCCAAATGATAATTTCTCCTATGAGTTCTTGGATATTAGAAACTTTGTGGGTAAATTAGCCTTTTGAAGTATATAGCAGTTCCAGTTTTCCACAGTAAGTACATCAAAATGACTTCTCTAATTAAGTAATATAATTATGAATATATTCTTTTGTCTTTGTTACTATTGCATTATGGATTATACCCCTATTAGTGTTTCCCCTTGTGAAAATTCATCATGATGTACACATAATTCCTGTACTTCGCTGTATAAGGGGTATAAAAGTTTACTAAGAAGAGAAAAATCTAACAAAGGTATCTTCAGACCTAGAAACCTTCTCCAGAGAATTCTATCTAACATTTAAGAAGAAACAAGGGCAATATTATAAAGATTCTTCCATAGAATAAAAAAGAGTCAGACTATGCGTCATCTTGTTTTATGGTGCAAAATCACCTTGATACTGAAACTTGATAAGAGCATTCTGAAAAAGGAAAACTATAGTCCTGTCTTACTCATGAACATAAATGTGAAAAATCCTGAACAAAATAATAGTAGAAAAAAATTAAACAATATATAGTAGGGATAATGTATCACAATCCAGTTGGGATATTTCCACAGTATGGCTGGTTTATTATTCAAAGCCAATGAGTGTAATTTGCCCCATTAACAGAATAAAAGAGAAGAATAATATGATTATCTCAATATATGCACAAAAAGGGCTTGATAAAATTGAACATTTATGCATTGATAAAATCTTTTAGTAAATTGTCATAGTTTCTGGTTCTCTAGAATTTCGTCTTTCTCAAATTACCTAACAGTTTAAACATAAGTTTACTGTGTTTACCTAACAGTTTAAACACAGTAAACTTAATTACTTTAAAATCTGTTTCTGATAACTTCAATATCTGGCTCCTGTGTTTTTGTTGTTTGTTGTTTCTACTGCTTCTCATTTATGGTGTCTTGACTTCCTGTTTGCCAGAATTTATTTAAAAAATCTTTAGAGACCATTTTGACTTTGACATTATACCAGAGTTCTAGGGCACTGTCAATCTTGGAGCATTTTAATCCAATGTCAGGGATTGAGATTACTTAAATTATTTAAATAAAGCTCACCTGAAATAGCTGTGAGAGCCTGATTACTACAGGTTCACTCTTACTTCTGTTGTCTCTCCCTTTATGTTCCAGCCCAAAGGGAAAGTCACCAGGTAGGCCCACTTGAACATGACCACCTAGTTCCACAAGTCTACCAGAAGCACCACTCAGGCTCTTAGAAGCCCTCTCTAGAATCATCAAATGTATCTAGGCCTAAATACCTAGCTCATGTGTCCGGATTTTCTTATTCTCTTGGATTTGGACATAGTAACTCTTTACTATCTTAATAAATATTCAATACCTTCAGGCAGAGTTTAAAAAAAATTCTCCCAAGTTTTCCTACTTATTTTCATTGATATGATTCATCTGATTTTCCCATCCTGTCATTATTGAAAATAGAAAATAAAATTTCTTTTTTTCTTTTCTTTTTTTTTTTTTTTGAGGAAGATTAGCCCTGAGTTAACTACTGCCAATCCTCCTCTTTTTGCTGAGGAAGACTGGCCCTGAGCTAACATCCATGCCCATCTTCCTCCACTTTATATGTGGGACGCCTACCACAGCATGGCTTTTGCCAAGCGGTGCCATGTCGGCACCCAGGATCCGAACCAACAAACCCCAGGCCACCGAGAAGCGGGACATGGGCACTTAACCGCTGCGCCACTGGGCTGGCTCCTGAAAATAAAATTTCTTATTATTTCTGACCATTTTATCATTTCTAGATAATATACTTTTTGAGATATGGCATAGAAAGTATTTAAAAAGACATGTAGTATGTGTTCCTTAAGAAAATACTAATCTTAGGGCTAGCCCCTGTGGCCTAGTAGTTAAGTTTGGTGCACTCTGCTTTGGCACCCTGGGTTCAGTTCTGGTATGGACCTACACTACTTGTCAGCGGCCATGATGTGGTGACAGTTTGCATACAGAAGGAGGAAAATTGGCAACAGATGTTAGCTCAGGGTGAGTCGTCCTCAGCAAAAAAAGAAAAAAGAAAGAAAGTACTAATCTTAAAAATAAATTCACTTTCATTTCATTGTTAAATCACTTTCTCTGAAAGAGTAATCATTAATATTTTTCTCTCTCTGATGACAGCTTCTTATGTGGCTTCATAGAGGTTAACCACTTTGTTATATAGAAGATTAATTATTAAATTTTTAATTCTTTTTTTACCTCACCATACAATTGTTGGTACAAATATATTATTTGTACACGTACTTGGATCTCTTAGAGAAAATAATCTTTTTTAGAATTTCTGGATTTTCAAATAGCACTTAAAATTAAACTTTTATCCTTTTGGATTTTTCCCTTTGATTTTCCAAGTAATTTGTTTGGCTTTCCTTGAAAAGAATATAATAGTGATGAATTCTCTGTGGTAGTGATAAAGGAAAAGTTTAACATAGAAATTGTTCAAATTGGATTATTTCGATACATTTATAAAGTCTTGGTCCATATTTTATAGTTACCTTATAACTGTCCTATTTGATTTTTCCTTTTAATGTGTTTTCACCCCAGTGTGGTAAATTGATTTAATAAAAATGCCTCTGTTTTCTCTTGTTATCTGATAACTTCTTAATGACAACTAACAGCTTTTGTGGGAGCAGCACCATTAGCACTAATGGATGGGGAGGACAACTGATATGGCATGAGAAAGGTTAAAGATGACTAGTGACCCTTTGGCAAATCTGTGTGCAATAGAACAGAATAAGTACCATGCTCATTTGAATTTTTGGTCATGATGGATTATCAGACACATTCCTTATAGTCTCTGTTCAGCTTTCTTATAGATACAGGTTAGTAATGTGAATGCTCCTGTTAAGATTAGTTGAGAATATAATGAACTTTTTAATTTAGAAATCTCAGATTGTGAGGACAGTCAGTCTAATTTGACATCTCTGTTTGTCCAAATAGATTTTTTATTCCTAATTTTTGCTTAGCATTCATTCTTTTTTCTATGTATTTGAGGAAATCGTCAGGTATGTATGTACCCTTTCTACTAAAATCTAGTGAAAAGACTAATTACCGTGAGCTGATTTAGGTATCTAAATATGGTATGTGAAAACTATTAAATAACACATACTTTGCTTTGGGACACCAGTGCTCATCAGTATATTTGATTATGACATGGAAACAAATTTCTCCTAGAAGCAAAGGTCTTCACTAATGCAGAAAACTTCTAGTACTCCTCTTACCCCCTGCATTAGACCTTATTTTGAAAGTTACAAGTACAGATTTGATGACTGTTAAATTTTGGGTTTAGATTTTTGTCCACTCATAAGATGACCCCACTGGTAGCCTTAAGGTTTTTTTAGGAGAAATATTACTAACTCTTCATGTAATATGAGCCTTTGACTATGAAATATACTATGATCCCCCCCCCCCCCCCCCCTTTCTGGAGTTTTTTCATTCTTCTCTTAGAATAACTTTTCCCTTTGTCTTGTGGTTTGCTCTGGTACATTACCTCCCGCTTTCTGTGTGCTCCAGTTATTTCAGTTTTATTCCTATTCATTGGTATAAGAGCATGAAATAACAAGCTCAAGGGCAAATGGGGAGAATGTAGAACCAAAACTTTAAACCTGAAAGGCACTCTTGCTAAAGGAATAGCTCCGTTTTAGTGGGAGCATCTCCATTAGCATTAATGGAGTAAGCCCATCAGCTGAGGCATCGCAGAGGTTAATCAGGCTTCCTGGCCAGCTTTTGACATCAATACACTGTGGCGCCTGATTTTGTTGGTCCTTCAGAGGCTTTCTTGACAACACTCCAACAGACTTTGTGTAAGTCATTTCTTGTGAATTATTGAAACAAATGTTTGGCTGCTAATTGAGGAACGCTAATGTGTTTTATAATCACTGCAGTTTGCGTTTTTAGCACTAAACAAAACAGTTAAAATTGATTTGTGGCTTTTTCTTGGTTTCAGTCGGCTGCAAGTTATGTCTTTTTGCTTGAATTCAGCAAATGACTTTGCTGGTCATTTTATTTAAGTATTTATTAGGATACACTGTTATGGTCTTTATTTTTCCTTTTTTCCTCCCACAGTATATGTCTGTGTTCTGAATTCAAGAAGTGTGAGATCACAAGTAGTAACAGGAATAGATTACGAGGGAATACTGGATGGTGGTTAAAATCAGGCTTGGGAGATAGAGAGTCCTAGTTTTGAAATCTGGCTTTGTCATCAGCTAGCTGTTTTAGCTGCTGTTTTACTTAACTTCTGTAGCATCAATTTTCTCTTCTAGAAACTGGCAAGGTGTTTGAGGACATCTATAGAGATCATTTATGTTAAGAGCTTGAGCAATCCTGAGTTCATAGGAAACGCTCCAGGGAACATAGCTACAGGAAAATAATAGATGTATCACTAGTGTTAGTTATATGGAAGTTTAATGAAAAATTTCTTTGGAAAATACTTTCCTTTTAAAAATTTCAATCTAATTGTTGCTTAAATCACATTTAGGCCTTTATAAACTACCTTCTTTGCCTACCATTTATAAATTAATATTTGGAATACTATGTATATAATAATTAACATGTTAAAATTTAGCTAGAACATATGCCAGGATATAGGTGAGCATATTTTCCCATAGTTATTATAAAAAGAATCACCTTATTGAAGATTAATTTTAAGTATTTTAATAAAAACTTTTCCTCATAATATGAGAATTGGAAAAATCTTATTTCTGAATGTTGTGTCTATTATGTCATACATAATTTTTGATATGTCTATGTAATCTAAACTACTTATTTTGAGGCTCTGATGATTAGATCTTTTTGAACATTTATGAATCACATAATTTTCTCTGTTTTAACTTTTCTCTTTCAGACAAAAAAGTTACTTTAACATTATTGTTTGTTAATGCAAATGAGAATAATCAGATAATGAGAATCACATAAAAGCAAAAAAATAGTCACACGTGTTAGTTTTATCTATTTGCTTTGAATGAAATGGAACTAAATGTAATTATAAAATTACATTTAGGTTGTCTTTAATTGAAATAATATATTAGAAGCATTACATTGTATTGGTTTTTGTTACCAGAGAGAAAATAACCTTCTTGGCTAATTTCATATGATATTTCCTTCGTCTAGTAATTAGTATCTTGGATGGAAACTGTATTTTCCAAATGCCAAATCTTGATGTATGGTGCTGTATAGCAGCATATTATAGATTTGCTTTGGAAGCATAGTCTTTTTCACATGGAATTCTTCCATTGCCTTGTCTTTTTCATGCTAAAAAATGGACTTAAAATTAGATTTATAATATTTCAAAAAATAGAACATCACATAGTTCCTACTTCTTACTATGTCACATATTTTAAGTTATATGTGGTAAGGAGAGGGAAAAAAGAAATTGTTTTAATAAAAATGCAATCGTACCCTCATGTGAAACACAGATCTTTAATTATTTGTCTACAGCTTTATTCTCATCATGCTGACTTTGGGGACTCTACTGATACCATTCACTCAAACTAATACCGATTTTCTAACTAAAATTGAAGATCATGTGAAAAATCAGACTGAATTTCTGTGGCAGTTCACTGTTACCTATAAGCTTGTATGAGAATAAAGAATTCAGTGGGTAGGAGGATTAACAAAATGCACACTTCTGTTTAGAATCCAAATACTGACGTGAAGTCATACATTTTACCTTTCATTGTACAGACGTTGAAAACTGGCCTGACGATGGTTGGGAAAGTGGTGACTCAGCTGACAGGCACACTGCCTTCAGGTGTGACAGAAGATGATGTTGCTATGCACAGTAATTCAAGGCGGAGTCCTTTGGTCCCAGGCATCATCACGGTGATCGACACTGAAACAGTAGGAGAGGGCCAGGTGAGAACTTCTGATGCATGTAATGTCTCATTTTCTGCAGAGGATGGGCAGACTAAGAATATATTTGCGATCAAGATCAACCAAAATGTACTTAGCCTTGAAGATTGTTTCTTTGCAGTTCTAGAAATTGAGGTTATTTCAGGTTAAAATTTTTTTTCAAAAAATGATCAGTAACTTGTTAAAACCTGTCAATCCAAACATTATTAATGTGTCAAACCTAAAGGTAAAATTGAGGTTCTAAGGAATTCTCTTGTTATCTCTTAATCAGGACATTCGTCTCATAAATAATTATATATTTCTTTATGTTGTTCTCTTCATAGTACTGTTTCTTTGTATTTTTTAATGACGTTTGTTATAACCTAAATTAGAAGACTAATACTTTTTCTTTTGAGGCAGAGTCTTGCTTGTAGAAACAATCCACAGGACCTTACATATTTGGGGGAATTTAACAAATTAATTGACTAATTATGATGGTTACAAATGACAATAATGTGAATAATATCAAATTTTATTACGGATATTTTCCTATAACTATGAAAAAATATACGAAATCTCAAAGTATGTATTAGAATATATACATGGTAATACCTTATAAAATCCTATATCTTCAGATAAAACAGGCTTTTAAAAATCTATGTTCATAAACATTTAGAAGGAATGATTATAAATGTGGAAAAATATGTTACACTTGCATACAAATCTTGCTGACAAGAAACCAATTTGGTTTTGTTTTCTTCCCCTATGCATTTATAAATTTTCTTTTGTATTATAGTCTTGAATTTTAAAATATATTTCTGAAAGGAAGGTAATTTTTAAATTTTAGTAGTTTGTTATCATTGCTGTAAAAATACAGTCTAAAATCAATTACTAGAATAAGATAGGAATAGAGCAACATCTGTGAAATAGAAATTATTTTAATTTTATATAGAATATATATTTAATTCTGTTTTCAGAACATAGTGTTTAGAAGCTATGTGTCTTTATTAACCCTAAATATTACATTCTTTTTGAGAAAATCTGCTTTCAGTCTATATTGATCCTACATCTTGATGAAAGATTCCATTTGGGTGCTACTCAGGCACTAATTCCTATAGGAAGATCAAGTGGCATTTCAAAAAAAAGGTGGACTCTGCTGTTTAAAAGACAAAAAATCTTTGAAATTCTGTGTTACTGAATTTCGCTATTGTATTTTATCTGAAATCTGAAGAATGATAATTCTCCACCTGTCCCATCTTAACTTGGTGGTTAACCAAATATGTTACAGGCTTGTATTGTTGTGTAAAACTTTTTAATGAAGTGTTAGCAAACTTTTCAGTTGACTGTAATGATTTCTTTTCTAAGTTCTGTTAATTAGCTCAAGTTGATAGACACATACAGATGTTCTCTCTTTTAATTGTAATTAAATATGTAAACCCTTAGTGTTTTATGAGTGTTAAAGTAAAAAATATTGTCTTTTGTTCTTTAATTCTTAATTAATTCAACTCTAAGGCCACCCACATTTACTGAGTAGTAACAGCCCTCCCCAGCATTGTCTAGTTTGGTGAGTATAAGTAAGTCTGTTAAACATCTAGCATGTGTTGACAGACAGATTTGTAGTCATTTAAAAGTAGAAAATGTTATCTCTTGTTATTTCTGATGAAATAGAGGTATAACTCCTTGATTTATTTTATTTAAGTATAGGAACATATAAAAAGAAAAACTTAAAGTAATATGTAAAAAGTATAGCAGTAGGACTTATGTTTTCAAATGTGACCCCTCTCCCCATTCTTTACTAACTTTTTATAACTTTAAAATCGAATACTCAGATTTGGAATATGGAAATGGACTGTAGATTGTGGAGTTGCAAAAGTTCATTTTTCTGTAAAAAATGCCTTGTTAACACTTGAAACAAATTTACTAGAAAATAAGAATCATAGAAATGTTAGATTTTAAAAGTTAAAAATTGTTGTTTAACCTGAAGAATTTTATCTTTTCTGTTATTTGTTAGGGACATAATCTCTTTTCATTCCCACTCATAACGTATTCTGAAATTTTAATTTGATTTATAAATTCAATTATAAGACAAGATATAAATTGATGTTCAATAAATGGTAAGTTGCTATGTGCATTTTGAAAGAATTATAAATATTTTTAAAGCAACAAGATTTCCTCAGTATAATACTGTCTTCCTTTCTTTTATTAACATGAATCTGTTTTTTGTCAAGAAGACATTTTTGTCTGTGATAAATAGTTCAGTTGGAGTACAGGGCTGTTTTTAGGTTATGCTGGACTGTATTAAAAAGACTGCTGTGGTTAATGTCATAGATTTATCACTTTGAGCCCTTTCCCACTGATGTTTGACCTTAGCTGTAATATTTTTTCCTTTTCTTATACATATCAGGAGCTAAAGCTGACAGTACGTTCACTTTTGCTGTTTAAATCCATTGAGCCTTTAGTAAAGATATTTCCATGCTTATAGTGGTAGTGATATAAAATTTGATTCACTATCTTTCTGATGCTAAATTGATTTGTTTGATTTTAAGGTGACAGGATCATTGTGTGGTAACTGCATTAAGAAGGAATGAGTTTGATTGACTTTGTCCCTTTCTATCTGTGTTCCTTTCATGTTTTTTAAAAGCATTTTGTGGCTAGTATAAGTTGTGTTATAATTTGCTTTTACATATTTATATAATTGAAGTTAGCAATGTGGCAAATTCTCTAATCAAAGAAAAATGCTCCAGAATGATTAGATAAACTTGAGCTATTTCTTGCCCCAAGTACAAGTGTTATTCATAATAATTTAATGGTTCCTGGTGTTTTGTCTATCTTTTTGTTCATGTGATTAAAGGCTTATCTACCTTGTGTCAATTAAATTGCTTTGCTTTGTTTTAATACAGTCAAGTTGTTACTACATATACTTAGAGGTTCAGCCTGCTTAGTTAAATGATGAGTCAAAATTACATGTCTTAATGGCTGGCCCATGACCGAGCGGTTAATTTCCAGCACTCCACTTCGTTGGCCCAGGGTTTCGCTGGTTCGGATCCTGGGCGTGGACATGGCACCGCTCGTCAGGCCATTTTGAGGCGGCATCCCACATGCCACAACTAGAAGGACCCACAACTAAAAATATACAACTATGTACCGAGGAGCTTTGGGGAGAAAAAGGAAAAATAAAATCTTAAAAAAAGAAAAATCACATGTCTTAGGACAATTGTATTGGGATATCTCTGGTATTATTGATTTGATGTTTTAGGCAAGGTGCTAATGCAATGGAGAGAATCCTTCCAAAAATATCTGGTTGTTATATTTGTGAATCTCCTAAGGAGAAGATTCAGAGAATTCTATTTAGCTGTATGAGGTTTTGCTATGCACCAAGATTAATGGGCATTTTTGCTGGATGGCTTCTTTCTTAAAACCATCAAATAAAGTACTCAATGAACTAATTGTGTTGGAAAGAGAGGTCTAGGGTTATAACATGAAAGGAAAGAGAATCTTGTAAGACCAAGTTGAAATATGAAAAGGAGCAAAAGACAAATATTTCACAGAAAAAACTAAAATATATACAATTGGTATAAAACCTATACCCATGGCTTCACTTGTCATAAGTTAAAGACAAATTAAAACTACACTGAGATTCCATTTATCGCCTATCAAAATGAGAGAAATTCAAAAGCCTGCAGTATACTCTGCATTTTTAACTTTTAATTTTGAAATAATTGTAAACTCCCAGTAAGTTGCACATATATCCATGTACCCTTCACGCAGGTTCCTCCAACTTCTCATGAATGATGACATCTTACGTAGCTATAGTAACAGTATCCAAACCAGGAAATTGACAGTGGCACGTTGCTGTTAACTAGGCTACAGGCCTTATACAGCTCTTACTGTTTGTTTTACCTGCATCCGTTTGTTTATGTCTGTGGGTGTACATAGTTCTATAAAATTTTATTCTATGTATAGATTAATATAATCACAATTAAGATACAAGACTGTTCAAGACATACCTCTTTGTCATCGTGCTCATCCCTCAGCCTATCCCATCCATTTCTCTTGACAACCATCAACCTGTTCTCCATCTCTATAATTTTGTGATTTCTAGAATGTGTATAAGTGAAATCATATAGTATGTAACATTTTAAGATTGACTTTTTTCGCTGAATATAATATCCTTGAAGTTTATTTAGTTTGTTGCATGTAAATCATTCTATGTATCTATTCAACCATTCACCCTTTGAAAGACACTTGAGTTGTTTCTAGTATTTTCTTATCACTAATAAAGCTCCCGTGGACATTTGTGTAAAGGTTTTTGTGTGATTTGTGTAAGTTTTCATTTCTCTTTACCAAATGCCCAAGAGTGTGATTGATGAGTTTTATAAGTGTACATTTAATTTTGTCAGAAACTGCTCAATTATTTTACAGAGGGGCTGTCCTGTTTTACATTCCCTCCAGTAATGTATGATAGGTAGTAGATTTCCCATCAGAATCCATGGAAGATGAAGGAAGTGGTACAACATCTGTAAAATAGTGAAATAAAAAAACTGTTAAATCTAGCTTCCATTTCTAATGAAAATATCCTTCAGGAATGAAGTGGAAGTAAAGACATTCTTTTTAAAAGGGGAAAAGTAAGAGAAAATTTTCACTAGCAGATCTACTCTTAAAGAATAGCCAAAGAAAGTTTTCTAAAAAAAAATTATAGCAAAAGAAGGCTTGGAATTTCAGAAAGTGGAGAACAATGGAATGGGTAAAAATCAAAACGTATATAATATATTATCCTTCTCATGAGTTTTATAAATTATATTTGGTTGAGGCAAAAATTGTAATCTGATATGATCAACATAGGTATGAGAAGTATTTATATTTTAAAAAATCGGGAAGTAAGTTAAACTTTGTAAAAATTAAAAAATTCTGTGCGTCAGATTGCACCATCAAGAAAGTTTAAAGACAACCCACTAAAGGGGAGAAAATATTTGGAAATCATATTTTTGATAAGGGACTGCTATCCAAAATATAGAAAGAACTCC